CTGAATGATGCAAAGAATGCAAGATGAAATGAAGAGCAGTAGTTTGCACCCAAAAAATAAGAAAAGAAAAAAGAAAAGGTAAATGACTGGAATCCTCACTATCATATGTCACGAAGCAATTATGCCGAAGCAGAGAGCCATATGAATATGTTAAATGGAATGCTAACCAAAATTCGAAAGAGAAGTATCAAAGAAGATCTTGCAATGCTTTATTTAATGTGGGTCTCATATGCAAAATATCAACTATGTTGTGGGCATGATCCTAGTAGGCAAAATTCATATGTTTGACTAGTTTACCTTGTTTCTTCCTAGGATAAACTTTTTGCCTTATCTTATTTTTTTGTCATTTCTCAAACTTCGTTTACTTCCCATGTATTTTATCCTAACCTATAAATCAAAACATAATTCTTAAAACAATTTTTTAATTATTTTTCCCCCTCAAATCCAGATGTTTTCAATTATCTAAGATGCTACCACATGTACTTATTTCTCATAAAAGAAATCAGAAACACATTCTATTAACATGGTTCTAATTTTGCAATGGAAAACTACTAATCACTCGATAGATTTATGAATATATGCCAATAATGAATAAAGTACTTGACATTATTGAATTGTAGTAGTTGTAGAATTTATCAAGAAACTATTGCATCAGCACATCGAGTTGATAGAATTATTTAATGCAATCAAAACTCACAAAGAACCATACAAATAATCAAGACGTCACTTAAAAATATGCTCACGACCTTCACAAATAATCTTACTTGGCTTAGTTATTGTGATTTGGGTCTTTTGTCCTCCTTCTCTCTAAAAAGCAATAAAGCAAAACTCATTCACGTAAGTGATTTCTTGGATTATATATGAGAAGATTCACAAGAGTTATGTTATCAATCTCAAGGCCCCTACTGACAATGCAAATAAGGTATGTGGATGTTCATCATAAACATGCAGCTGTGTTACAGATGTCTCAAAAAATTCAGCTCCATTCAATTATTACTTGCAAACTTGCTATTTTAAAGTAAAATGAAGGAGCAAATTACTTTACTATGGACAATATTACAATTAAGCATTGTGATCACATATATGCATAGCTATGTCAGGTAACTTTATTGAATGGAATGGATACATAGTTATGCTAGGTATTGTGGTTAAGAGAGCACAACTCACAGGTTTTTTTCTTCCCAGATGCCTTAATGGCCATTGCATGTTCTTCAGTAGCCTTTTTGAAAGACCAAGAAAATATACTATTTAGTCAAAGTACAGTAAGCAAATGATTAATGCAGCAGTCATGTTTAATTCTAATGATTATTTGTATGCAATATACTTACTATATAGTTTTCTTAGAGAATCAAATGGATTGCACTGAAGATAATAGTTCCTGATAGACAACATTTTCTGAACAATTAGTAACGAGATTATTAGAATTTGGTGATTCAACTAAAACGTTTAGCTGCGCTGGTTGCTCAAGATAACGCAACACATAATTGGCCATGGGAGAAAACTAGTTGCGGCAGATATGTACCCACAACGTCTAAAGTTTGACCTTGGGCTTTGTTAATAGTCATTGCAAAACACAATCTAATTGGAAATTGGCGCCTTGTAAATTGAACAGGGTACATCTTGTCATCTGAAGGTTGCAAAGGTATGTGAGGCAAGAACACAATCTTACCCTTACAAATACCAACCTCTATTTCAGCAATGATCACATGCTTGTCAAAGTGACTGCAAATTAATCTTATTCCATTGCATAAGCCCTTTGAAGGATCTATGTTTCGAAGTAAAAGAATTGGGCAATTTTTCTTTAGCAACAGTCTATGAGGTGGCAAACCAGCTGGGCAAAGAGAATTCAAGAAGTTTTCGTATCGACTTTGTTGGCTTGTATCAACGGTTTCATCAATGCCCAAGTATTCTTCCATATTTCCAGGAAATCTCTTGATCAGTAATTTATTAATGTCATCGATACTTTCGTTTTTGGGACTTAGTATGGCACAATCTATAGCGATCTCGGGTTTACCCTTGTTGTATAGTGATCCAGACTTGTGTCTGTAGATGTTGGTAGTTGACTATTATCTTGTTTGCATCCTCTTTACTTCATATTTGAGTTATGGGATGTGTTGGGTGGGTTTGTTTCAGGTTGGTTGAGTTTAGAAACCAAAACTAGTTGCCCAGATTTTTGGCCTGTCCGCTCGAGCGTAGATGTTGGCGCTCGAGCGTGGAATACACCCATCCAGTATTTGTTGTGCAGTGTTGTACGCTCGAGCGTAGGGTTGGGAGCTCGAGCGGAGGTCTGGTTCTGCAAAAGTGCTGAGCGAGTGCATTCTGCGCTCGAGCGGGAGGTTGGCCGCTCGAGCGGAAGTACACGCACTCAGAGTGGTCACTCGAGTGTGGATGCAAATTCTAGAATTTCCAGATTTGTTCTACCAGCTTAAAATTCAACTTTCAAGCATCAAAACTTTATTTTCTAGGTTAAAACTTGAGAAAACACTTAGGAACTCATAAAACATCGTGAATTAAAAATCATTTCAAGAAATCATGCCTCAATAGCTTGCCAATTATGCAAAATTCAACTTGAAATGTAGGAACATGCTATAAATATGACATGCATGTATAATTTGAGTTCATAGTTTCCCAAAACATGATCAAATGAAATATCCAACTCAAAACATGGTGAATTCTTAGATTATAACCAAAATATGAACATGCATGTGAGAATTCTCATGAAAACAACTTCAAAACTTCATGATATGGGCATGCATGCATGGAATGACTTTGCTTTCTTAAATTCTAGCTCAACTCCATGTGAATTCACCTATTTCATTTATATTCATATACTAAATGACTCAATTTCAAGGTTGTAAGGTTGAGCTCTTACCTAGGCTACTCAATTGAGCTCCACTGAAGCAAAATCTTGAGCAATTCACCAAATCTCTAACAATTCTCTCTTATCCAACTTTGATCTTAATTTTCCTTCCCTCTCTCTCTCTCTCTCTCCCCCACGTTTGTATGTGTGAGTAGACTCAAAAATGTGTTGACAACCCAAGAAGGAGTTAAGTGGAGTATGTAAGGAGTCTACATAGGTTCACTTGGGGTTATAACTTAGAGTCATTCAAATGGTCATTATATTAATCTAATTTAATCGTTCTGAATCAAATTTCAATTAAACCTACCATAAAATTCTGAAAATCCTAATTAACATATAAATCAAGTTAATTTCTGAATCGGTTGCCGATAAGGCCTTCAATTCACAATCCAAAGCTAAAACATGAACAGATCTTTCTACGTTAAACAGATATAAACACAAAATAATGCAATGCACATGTAATTAACTTAGGATTTCTCCTTAATTTCTTGTTAGGCATACTTAAACATGAA